GTAGGGGGTCATATGATTGTTGGGTTTTCTCTGTATGTATTATTGTAGGATCTACTGTACAATATAAAGCGCTGTGAGGCGACTGTTGTTGTGATTGGATGTCAGATTGTTATTTGCCTGATAAATAACAATATAATATTTAGATTTTGAACAAGTTTTTAACAGATTTCTAAAATACACATTTTCTTGCTTTAATGAAAGGTTGTCTAATACATTTGCTGAGCACTGTAGCTGCTCAGCAGAACTTCACTTGGCAGCAAGGTGATTTGTGACACACTACATGAGAACTAAGTGCAAAAAGTCCAATGACTGTTCTAAACAAAGAGCTGCTTTCTCTGAATATCTAAAAGGGGAACTGTATAGTTATGGTAATAATTAAAAATAAGACTTTTAGAAATCTTGGAGGATAAGTAGTAAAGATACTGGCTTGAGTTTGAGACTTATGTGGACTGCACCGACTCTTAGAACATATAAATATAAAACATGTGGAAAAGCATATCGCCACACGTGCCTTTATAGTAAGCCCACTGACCAGAGAAGTGATTACTACGATCTTATTACTGTGCGCCTCTTCTGGGAAACTCCTGACATTCATATAGATTCCCCTCCCCTTTCCCCTAATTACTCCGACATTCTCCAACAGCAGCTGCTGGCTGAGCAGGACACACACGGCTCACAACGCATCACATTTGTAGGTCTTCATGTTACTTTACTCTTTACTGCTGGCTACACTGTATCCCAGTCTTATATTGCACTTTAGTCTTGCATGGCTTTCAATGCATTATTTTTGTTTTTTTTAAAATCACCAGTTATGTAAATTGCATTTCCTTTTACCTGCCTCTTTATTAGCAGATATTGTAACGCTGGTACTGGTTCCAAGGCCCCGCCTCTGCCATCTCTCCCTGAAGGGACACTGCATCCAAGTTCAAGCATCCATGAGATGCACGACACCTCACATTTTGCAGCTCTACAGGATTCAGACGCTCCACTGTGGAGACACCGTACACGGTACTGCATCCAACACATGAGCTGTGGTTCTTTTAATCTGCAGCAGATCCAAAGGAGTAGGACCAGAACCCGTTTTGGTTTTGTGACTATGCATGCATGAGTGGATCAACAGGTTCATACACATTTGCAGAAACTGCTTGAAATTCTGGTGGGATGAGTGCATATTGTCCCACGTTCATCATCATCATCACTGATGCAGTTAAAGTCGCTGCTGACTGACAAACTAATGTCCTGATCAGGAGACAGACACACAGCTGAAAAGGAGCACAGGCCTGGGAAATAGTGAGCTGATGTGGTGTCACACCCTTTAAAGCAGACGTTTATTGAACAGAGGTTGTGCAACAGACATTTGAGGTACATAATTGAGTTATAGAGGAGGGGGAGCGGGCGATTTGAAGGGAAATCTGCACCATTGAAACTTCCAGAAAATGTATGACTGGATGCCACAGGTCAGCTCGAGCCATTATTCTGCGGGAGTTCCAGTGGTGCACACACAATATCTTTAGACCAAAACACACGTTTCTCACATACAGAATCGATATTTAATGACATTCATAGTGATTGTGGTTATATAAAGCAAGAACTGTACTTTGGCCATCATAGGAATGCTGTTTTTGCCCCTCGCTTGCACACAGTCAGATGTAGCACCAACACGGACAGTAGTGAACATGCTCGAACTATCTGCGGTACAAAATCCTCAAAGAAGCTGTTGCTTCGTCACGGCGCTCCCCCTCCAAAAGAGTCCAAGTGGAAGCCTTGCATATTTCTGGTTTCCCCATCTCACCGAGCGAGTCGTTTTCCAACTAAAACAGCAACAGAACACGTCGTTCTTTTCTTTCCCCTCCGTTTCAGGCTCCCTAACTGCAGAGGTATAGCTGATGAATTTTGCGGTTTTTAAAAAAAATCCAGTAATCTTGAGGTATCGGAAATACCACTGATGGGCAGAATGTGACTGAAGAAGGAGAGCAAAAATAGATAAAGGGGAAAACGAGACATGCTATCTAAGCAAACGGTCAAACTGTACAATGAACATTTCCAGTCGAATACTCGTTTCATGTTCTTCTATCACCATCTACTTCGGTTTCTGAATGTATCTCTTAAGCAGTAAAATAATTATATTATAATACAAATGTTTATAAAATAGCAGCACACTCAAGTGACACATCACAACTAAGTAATGTTATTTTTTTGTATAAATGAAACAAATTCATAGCTTTTAGCAGCGCAAAAAATACAATAAAATATTGACACTTTTTTTTTTTGTCGATGTCTTCAGTCCTCCTCTGTCCTCTCTTCACTTTGGAATACAGTATCTCTAAGTCTTAGAAAAACCCTTTGTGGGTCTGGTCGCCCCGTAAAATATTATCAAACACAAATTGACAAAGGTGGTCTCAAAATAGAACATATGCAACAACATATTGCAGGAGGAATCACAAGTTTGGGAGAGAGCTTACGTCAGGAAAACAGGCAAAATAAAAGGGTCATACCAAATATTCAGATGGGGGACGATTTGGCAAACGGGTCATGAAATCGCTCAGTTTTACTGAAAATCATCCGATCCCCACATTCGCACTCAGCAAAGTTACACATGGTCATGAAAAAACAATAAAAAGAAGTCAAAGACACCTTGCTGTGACAAAGCCACGACCACACAAAACAAAATCAGCCGTCTCGCTTTGTTCTGCTGTCTGCCTGGCAGATGAATCCCCTTGCTAATGATTCGAAGCAGCAAAGCTCACCGGGGAAATGTGTTCACTGACAGACAACTGGCCTGGACGGGCGCTACGGAAGCCAGCACCATAAACAGAAACAAACATAAAGGAAAGAAAACAACAACAAAACAACAACTGACCAACCACTGCGACACAAATTCTTTTTTAAACACAGGCGTTGCTTTATCTTAACATTGCAAACCTCATGGCCCTTTAAAGAACATGTGCAAACCTGGATGTTAAGACCACCCTTGCTGGTAGCGCCCTGCCTCCCTGGCTGTGATGCAGATAAATAGAAAGAAAAATTCAAGTAAAAACAAAATCATTTCTTGACATTGTAAAAGAAAATCGACTCGAGCCCACAGATCAGAAAGCTGTGTGAATTCATGCTCTTATTTGTTCAGGATCAACTTGCAATTTGCTTGACTGGGAATGTTGTTTCTTTGTTTCTTTGTTTGGAATGTGCTTATGCGGAAAGTCGCGGGAAGCCTTTTTTCAATTTGACTCCTCCTTTAAAGGCAAATGACTGACGTTGGGAAACCAGCCCTTCAAAGTAACCAAAGAAAAGGCTAATGAGGAAAAAAATGAAACATCTGTTCACCTCCAATCACCGTCCATTTCAATTTAATCATCTCCTGGGGAGCATGTTTGCAAAGTGCTTTGCCATTAAAATCATACAGGGGTGTTGAAAACAACCCTATGCGGTACTCCAGATGAGCTTTGACAGTTATTGTCATCCTCTACCCCTCCCCCAACCCCCCCGCCCCAAAAGATTCCCCAACGCGTGACCTGGCAGCGTACGGTCTTACTTCCTCGTGTCATTTCCACGTAAACGGAAAACCAGGAACATCTTTGTGTGTCGTTGTAGGCATCCGTTACTGACGCAGCCACGGATACCAATTTTATTGTTCGTCATCTTCCAGCCACTGGCTGTACAAAGCCCACGTCTCCCACACAGCAGCAAACTTCTGCACCACTAACAACTAAAACCGTCTCTGTCCCGCCACCCGGTGCTGTGCCTCTCCCTCAGCCTGCGCTCGTCTCGCTCTGCGCTCACCGACACAGAAGAACAAAACTTTCCTCAAGACTCTCCTGCTCTCACATGTGCCACGCATGCTGTGCACGTTCCATCCAGACACAAGAAACGCCTCATCGCAAAGCGCGACGAACGTGCGATATTTCGTTATCGGAACGGCAGTAATGAACAAACGGCTCGCATAACCTCCGAGAAAGATAACGGCCTCTGTCGTCTCACTCGTGGTCCACGCACACAGGTTTATTGTTGGAGAACAACGAACCACGACACACTGTTAATGCACGACGGCAGCGACGTAGCGTAGATGCCCAGTTCTACGGATGGAGAAAGTATATGTAGCCTCGGCTCGCTCCGCTGTCTTTAAATACAGAACTGTAAGCCTGCGACTTTATTCAAGTGCCTTTCGCTGTAGAATCACTGTTAACATAGACACGCACACACTCAGACACGCACACACAAAAACACGCTTGCATCCACAAACTGACACGCACAAGCAGCCAGACAAAAGGAGCTTATTGATCTCTACTATTCATTTCAAAATACGTCCAATGATAATAATAACAATTACTAATACTACTGATAATTATCATCATCCCGGGTCTTCCCTGATAATGCGATCCACCCACTTTCGGCAAATAGTCTCACGGCTTCCTCAGTCGCACACTCAGCACACAACAGTCGAGGAGCTCGTTCAGCGGCCACAAACGTAACGGTGACAGTACTCGTAACGCAGCGATAGAGAAGCCCCAGTGTGATCCCGCAATTTCCAAATAGTTTCCGTCTCAGCCTCATTATCAATCTATAGTTAGAATATAACTTAAAAGATCATACTATACAATCAGGCAGAATGCAAATATGATTGGCTTCCCTTCTGGATATCCAAGGCATCACAGAGCTTCATCTCGGATCAAATTTGATGCATTTATGCTATAACGTCATCGAAAATCTATTCTGCGAGCAGGTGTTTTCGACTTGTAGAACAGAAAATCTACACACACAAAAAAAAACTAGCAAGCATTGCTGTCTTTTGTTTTTAACATTTTTACATTTTGTTCTTTTTTTCTGCTTTTAAGAAAATTGAGTTTTTTTTGTTGGTTTCTATTTTTGTTTTTGTAAATCCTGTGCAATGATGCCCTCTGGTGGTTCACAAGTTGACATCGCGGACGTCTGTCGGGGTGGAGGACTGATCCAGCTCGTCCAGGCCTTTCCCACTCGGGCCTCTCTGAGTTTGCTGCTGTTGCTGTTGCTGTTGCCGTCCTTCGCGTAGGCTGCTCACCAACACGCGCTCGATTTGCTCCTGGCACTCTTTTAGAACATCCTGCAATGCAAAAGACAATCGAGAGGTTACATCAATCTTTTTAAATCTGCAGTCAAGGAAGTGCGTTTTTCCTGCTTCTTCATCATCTCAGAGTTCCAGTTTGGTACGATCGGGCACATTCAAAGAGAGACTTTATCATGAAACTAAAGAGCAAACCAATTCTGTTACTTACAATTTAAACTTAGAAGTTAAACCTTTGAATTTTCTATCAAGCATGTAACACAAATGTTATGCCCTATCATATCAATCTGCTGTTCAGAAAGTGCTTCGGCCACGATGACGGCGTCTCGCTGTGATTTTAAATGACAGCTGACTTTCGAGTTGCTGCTTCCAAAAAACCACAGACATGGGCCAGACCCAAGCATTACATCAGCCCACCGGGGTTGTGCAGCGAATACCATCACTATCGTCCTCATGTAGCCTACGCACATGCACCGGCATGCACACACACACTCGCATGCATACCTCTGCCCTCCCCCATCCAGCCACCCACCACCTCTGCTGTTCCCCAAACACACAAAACCCAAACAGGAGTCGTCTTGACAACGGCGGCTGAAAACACAGGTAGTATTAAAGCTATGTTAATTACATCCACCTCCTGTGGGAACACAAAGGTGGTGCTTTTTTAACGAGAGCCAGTCTGTGCGCCCGCCTGCCTGCAGGGGATCCATCTGAGACCCAGCCGCATCGACTTACACCATCAAAGGCCACCAAGGAAAACTGAGAATCCACCTGGGAGACAAACTCCTCAACAGCACCAAGGCCTCTTATCCTTCCCTGGGAGAGGGTTGAGAGAGGGGATAGTGCAGCGCAGTAAGACGGGGGTAGGAAGGGGGGGTTGGTGTAAAAGAGTGCTGAATGGGCTGTTAGCGTCAGAGAAAGGTCAAACTGTTTTAAGGAGGGTCATTAAATACCTAAAGTACCTCAAAGGATCTTTAGTCCCAGGAGCTCAAACGAATTATCAGATTTAAAATGATGACATATGAAATCAAAAAAATCTGTGTTGCTGCAAAACAACAACAGTGAAGCATAAGGTGCAGGTGACCAACCATTAAGCAGTAGTACTTTGCAGAGCTGATCGACTGAGAAACTGGCCCGAGAACAAAATGCTGTCCCTAACAGAGAGCTAACACTGCCCTCTGGTGGTAAAACACTTCAAAAACAACTGAAGCCGTGCTGCTTCCTTTTAGCTCTGTGCACGCACATGCATGCATGACCTGCGCCTTATAGCACGAGACATCAGTGGGAATCATGACTGAAAAGATGGGTGAAAATGTACTGCTTGTGGAGCGCTGAGACATTCTTTAGAAATTTACAGCTAATTTAAACCTGACGGCCTCAGTCCAGCCCGTTACAGCCTCTGATGCAGCGGAGCCTCGATGAAATAGGAACCGAGCCCTCACTCACGTCAGAGTTGCTCTCAGGGAGCTGTGGCTAAAGGTCACAATGTCAAAGGTCAAACAGCACGACACATAATGGAAGGAAGAGGATTTATATACTATGTGAAAAAAGAAGCCATTACAAGGCCACTACCAAAATACTAAGTGAGAGCTCCCCTGACGTCTTAATTCTACCAGTTTTTGACTGATCTGGGCTGCGCGCCTCTGGGCAAACACTTTCCTCAGCATTGGCTTTGACATGGAGGAAACCCCACCAGAGTCTGTCCCTTAATCTTCTCCAGAGGGTGGCCACTAATGTGGGGGTGTGTTCATGCACACATGCAGTCTTCCCACCAACATGTGCCTCATTGGTCATAAAATCTCAAATCTTGTGAGAAAATGGACTCAAACGCCGAACATGTAAAGGAACTGCTTGTGTCCTACCGCAAGAATGCACGCCTTCATTTCTTAAAAGACATTCTCCCCCCGTCTGCGCTGCTGTTTAGAGCGGCGTTTCGGATCCCTCGCCAAGCCCCGTGGGCTTTGAGAACCTTTAATGACTTCAGTGTGCGACTACTGGAAACACCGATGCTGTTTCCACAGAAGCTGTAGGTACTCGGACAATGAAGGGCCATCAGCGCTGAATAAATTCACCACGGGACGCAGCGTTGCACTTAAGCATCTTGCTTTGCAGCCTCAAACCGGAAAACACATGACCACCTCTGATCCTTTCTTGTAGTCATAGTCCTCCCTCTGCCCACCCCAAACATGCATCATACTGCAACAGCCTGTCAGTCTGACAAATCGTGGCATGCACTGTATCCCTGGGCGGCCTTTGTGACACTGGCAGCGGGAGGAAGTCGTGCAGACAGACAAAACCAAAAGGAAGAAATGTGTGAAGCGTGGAATGTGTTTTAACTGCTGACTGTACCACACAAGACAGTGTTGGCTACTCTGGGAGGATTTGGTGGTCAGACAGCTGAAACACACACACACAGGCAGGGACGCACTACGAATCTCAGGGAATCTCAAAACAAAATATCCCGGGGCTGACGCTGGAAATAAGAAGTCACCACATGACTTGAATTTCCACAAGTTACAATAGAAATGTGACCTTTCCCTTTCTTTAGCCCGCATGCCTGAAACACCACAAGTGATGCCACAGGCTGTGCTAATAGATATAATCCGTCGTAATAAAAGCATCTTTTATTACAAGCATTTTGTCCCCAGGAAATAACTGTGATTAAAAAAAGAGGAAGAAAAACAAAGGGAGCAATGGCAAAATGTGTTTCCGGTGTCTTAGCATGTGACCCCGGCTGAAAAAGATGAATGAAAGACTGAGAGAAAACAAATCTGGGAAGCGGTGCTCTTAAACCCTCTCGCCGCCGTTTCCTGTTGTAATCAATCAAGAGTAACTCTTACATTTCTGCTCATCTCACACACAAACACACACACAGCCCGTCTGCTCGCCCCACAAGGCCACACCAGGTGTTTGCGAGGCAACACGTATTCCTGCAATGGCCCAAAGATGGTGACTTGGCCCTATCGCATTTCCACTGGAAAACCGCAGCTTCTGGATACCACACATGCCAGCGGGGTGCCAGGGGGTGGCGTCGGCCACGGCGCTGTTGGCAGCAGCAGCTGCAGCGGTTGGCGAAACTCGGCCTTCATATTTCGCCTGGCTCTTTGGCCGAGCGGCTACAAGTCGCTGCTCGCCGAGCCGCTGTGCCGCCGGCCAAAATCACACGGGCTATGTTACGCGTACTCTTTTAGACTCGTACCACCTCGCTTGTGTCTGAAGTCTAAATGAAGGTAGGGTTGCTGCTAAAATGACACAGCATTTCCTCTTTCACCAAAGCCTGCACGCTGAGACTGACAAAGGGCGTAAATAGGACTGACGCCACTTATTAATACTGACAGGTAACTCTGGGCAGTGAGATTTTTTGCTGGTGTTGCACGTGGTGCACGAGCCTGATGCGAGGATCTCAGGAAAATCTTTTAATACCCTTAGCTTTGCTTGGCAGTTCATACTAAAGCCCTATATGTTGAATTAGGACGGGCGCCTTGTGCTTTTTCTCCCGTGTTTACCGCGAGCCGTGGCTTGTCTGAATCCAGGAATGTAAGGAGTTGATCGCTGAGACACAGCACCACTTAATTCCCCGGAGTCTAAGACCTAGCAGCCTAAAACACACCGAGGCCCTGTGCTGCTGAGGCCAACTATTTGTTTTTCCTCAGCTGCTGAGCGAGACTTCACACAGCTCGCACCAGAGGGAGCCATGCTCTCCAGCAGCGCTGCATTATGGACCATAGGAGGAGACAAGAGAGGCCCGATTGTCGCGAGGGAGGCATAACACCCCCTCGGTGTCCTTTTCACACTTCAACAGCTTTCTTCCACCTCCTCCTCCCCCTCTGCCTCCTTTTCAGGCAGAATTTAACATGCCACGGCCGATGCTCGGGATCTGTGTCGTGCCCCCTGTGCACTCTGCACACAGTTTAGAGTAAGTCTGCCATTACCAACCAAAAGACGTTTTCATCACGTTAGGTATTAGCAGCACTCCTGGCAAGGTGGTGGTTGTGGACCTGTGCTCGACAGCTTACCCTCCGGGGACTAAAGAAGAAGAACTTCACAGGTTACGCTTCTGCCCAGCTACTCGTCTTAGCAGCGAACTACAGACAGACAAAATCCTCTCTGGTGTATGATGAAAGCCAGGAATCTCAGAGCTAGCAGGGGCCCTGCCTGTGTTTGGACGTAGCTTATCCTCTGGTGCAACATTCACTGTACCAGGCAGCCGCGCAACAGCTTCACCGGCCTTCCTGTCAGTTACAGAGCGATTTAGAGGAGCCTTTACACGAGGCAGCTGCTGGACTGATAGTTTTAAAGACAAGTCATCGAGACAAATATTGATCAGTCTCGTGCTCATTTTTATTAAAATTGGCAGTAAATCTCCCCTAAAATATGCCTGTGTGAAGCCAAAACTCAGTGACATTTCAACTTTTGTCTGTTGCGCACACACAGCCTCAACAAACGTGGCATTTCTTAACTTGCCATGTGCTTTCCAACAGAGTAGCATGTTTGGTCGGGCAAAAAAACAACCCAGTTACTTGAGAAAAGCAAAACCTGTTTGTTTCAGTGGTAATAAGATAACTTAAATGTGTCACTTCACTAGAACTGTCTACTAAAGACTTCCAAAAGTAAGCTTCCAGTGCAGGAAACAGCTGATTAAGCACTGAATCATAGTTACTGTAACACTTGTACTCTGATAACCAGATAACATGTAACAGATGTCTGCAGAGTCACTAATATTTAGTCATAAAATATTACTCAGCAACAAATCCCCTACATTCCAGATGTAAGTATTACCTCTCAGCGCTGGATATTTAAATCGATCGAGCTACAGTGATAGGTAAACTTACCACTTCTGTGTTTGTAATCTTTGCCAGCAGGTCCGTCAGACTGTCACCCCACTGCGACTGGTCGGCTGAATCGAGCTGCAGGCCGCAGATCGCTGCCCCCACACTTCCTGTAGCGATCATGGATGGAGGGTACATGGCGAATCTGAAATCTGTTAGAGGAATAAAAACGTTTGAGTTAAATGTGGGTTTGTTAGTCTGAAGCACGAGCGTATGAAGTCAGGAAGCACATTCGTTGGTCAGGTGGGTGCATGTATTTACCACTGGTTTCTTTACTGCACGTTTCAGTTCGCAGGGTACAGATACGGTATGATTTAGTAATCTAGCACTCAGCTAATAAATACTCCTTCTATTGCACCGGCTATGAACGCTGGGCTCGCTAATGACCAGGGGCCTGGATAATGAGGGTTCACTGGGCTTGTAAAGGAGCTGAAAAGCAACCACCCTCACCCCGATGCAGTCCCCCTTTCCCCAGCCCGGCCCCTTTTCTTCCATCTCCTGAGTAAATCGTGTGCTCGCTGAAAAAAGCCCCATAGCGCTTGGAAAAGAAGGAATAAAGAGGCTCAGTGCCTTTGCCAATGCGCACTGCTGTAGGTCCTTTTTCCACGTGTGGTCACAGGCGTGCGTCTCAAAGACCAATAACCTTGTTAGCTCCCCTCGCTGTCATTCATAATGCAAATGAGACAGCTTGTGAACGGGCCAGAAGCCCGAAAAGGCAACTGGCATACAGTGAGACAGACAGACAGACAGGGAGAGGTTTTCTCTTCATGCACACACACACACACACACACACACACACACACACACACACACACACACACACACACACACAC